AAGTTTCTGTAGCAGTTTCATTTTACAGGATGGGGTTGCTAGCCTCATGCCCAACCTTCTCCTCTTTACCAGATTATTTCTGGCTTAGCGAGGTAAAGGAGTGCCTTGGTAGCCGGGGATCGAACCCCGGACCATGTGCATGGTCGGCGAGCGTCCTAACCGCTATGTCTCTCCCTTGGCCTAGGTGAATTCTCACTAAGACCTTTCCACTTCTTCGTATTTTCCATCTCTTTCATACTGTTATAATATTTTTTAAACTCTGATTATATGTCCATTTCACCCTTAGTATTACGTAACTTTTAAGATTTGACTTAATTTATTTATTGAACTGTCTATATATACACATATATACATATACTATCTTTGATATTCTTATCACCTGCATAAACCTGATTATCATTATTTCTGTCATCATTATAATCAGAGTTATTAATCACGTTCAAAACATCATTATTATTATTATCATTATTATTTGGTCCACAAAATCACTATCATTGGTTAAAATGTTTATATATAAATCTGTGTAAATTAGAGTAAAGCCTGAAGAAGATCGAATTGAAAACAATCATATTGTTCGTTTGTATATCTTGTTCAAATATTAATAATAATGGGGATATTTAAAGATTTGAAAACGAAAAGTGTCGTTTGCTTACAGCTCCTCAATAAGTTAGTTGGTAATTTTCTGTCTTACACACTTGTCTCATGACATAAAATGTGCACCTACCAAATAAGGTATCGTAGAGTTTTGTACTTAGTCGGTCGTGAATATAGTCTTCTGTAGTTGCTTCTGGTTCACCGACCTGGTGAGATGCAGTGGGTGAGTTGTTTATAGACAGGATGTTCAAAGTCTGAAAGATAATATATTTGCTAACGATTTGGTTTAGCGACAACACTCCACTAGTCCTACTAATGGATTTTAGTGTCCTACGTAGTACAATAAAGTCTTTCTTAATTAGCCCGAGAAAGATTAAGGTGGGGGGGTGGGGAATAGTAAGGAAGTATAGGCTTCTTCATTATTAAAAATAGGACAACAGAATACTTAATCGATCTATTAGGAGAGAAAATAGGCAATTTATAGATTTTTGAAAGAGAGTGGTAAGGGAAACCTGACATTATCCACAACTAGATGAAGTGAGAGACCAACCTTGTATACCTTTGACAGACCATAAAGTCTTGGTACTATTAAACCTTTTCGTGGCTGGATCTGGCCATAGATATCGCTTCTGATTGGTTGACTGGCTTTCATTCTCTTCAAGACGACTATAAACTATTTCTCAATGCTTTCAATGAAAGAAACAAAACCGAACTGATTGAGAGGCAGCTTACAGACGCCTTGAAGAGAATTAAAGCCAGTCAACCAATCGGTAGCGATATTTATGACCAGATATGGCCAACAGATTCAATAATACCAAGACTTTATGATCTACAAAAGGTGCAAAAAAGTTTCTTTCTTGTAGTATTAAACACCTTTCGTTATCAAAACAAGAAGGTAGTTTTGAAAGAACAATTGTGGTTTCGACAAATTCTTTCCCAGGCTCTACGCAGTTATAAACCCATGAGTAGTCCATTAGAATACAAATAACCATTAAGGGCATGTGAGAATCATATCGAAAACTGTATTGTTGGAGTACATGCCTAAAAAGAGTGATAGTTCGTTATTTAATATTGTCAGTGAACGTATATAGGAAAAATTTGCAGTCATTCAGAACATAAGATAATGTGTGAATAGCCAAAAGGATAACTTACTAATGTATTTATAGTCAAAAGAATATAATTTTCATTGAGGGGGGGGCGGGTAGGGAGAGTTACATTCAGTGGTATGAATGAGGAAAGTGATTACTCACAAAATACATACAAACAAATACCAAAAGCATGGGGTACACTGAATGTAAATTTAAGCAAGGGCTGAGAGATATCAAGCCTCCAAAGCCTCAGGATGGTCGGGGTGGATGTCTTGCGCTGCGGGTTGGCCACCCCACCGTACACCTCTTGAAATGCTCCTGAGGAAGTCCTACTCACTGCCTTCACGTGGCGGAGGTGTTTTTCACCGAAGTGAGAGGGCAAAAGCGGACGCCCAGCGCTCTTCACCGGGTTGACTGTTCATTGGATGACAGTCTAGGGGAGATGACTAAACCCTGATTTCAAACCTCCAACGACTGGCATATGAAGCTCACCGGAGCTCACCGGCAGACGTATGGACAAAGGGCATATTGGATGCTCTGGATGACTGGCCCCATTCAAAAAGGAGAATGAACCGGACTCCGGTCACTGGCTGCCAGTGGATAGTGGATTCCCTACTCCACTCCTACTGCCTTGTAGGTCACACTTGGTTGTGTAAAGGCTAGAGCTGCACTCTCAAACAAAAGCCGAGCGATTCTGGGGACATCACTCGTACCCAATTCCCATGAAACTTCATGGTTCATGAAGCCGGCTCATCCTCCCGTAGGAGATAGCCGAAGTAAAGTAAGTAAGTAGAGAGATATCAAGTGTAGTGATAAAATAAATAGGTTAAATTATGAGCTTTAATGAAATACTAGAGACATGATAATGAGCTTAGTGGTTGACACACAATAAAGGTAATAACAGAGTAAAGTGAACTAGGTTGACTGATATCAGTCTATAGTCGAACTCGAAAAACAAAAATCGACTACTGAAAATCATTCTGATCCTCACTAGTGACTTGCTACATGATAGAGTTTCCTGGAGTTCTAGTGAGAAGTCGTGACCGTGGTGGTGCTAAAATCACCAATTGGTAGAAGTTGAAATTATTGGGCTGCCCATTGAGTTGAGTCTCAATGGCTGAATGGTTAACGAGCTTGACTTTTACAGGGGAAAGTCCTAGGTTCGAACCCCTGTGGTAGGTGCGTAATGCCGATGAAACAGCTAGCTGTCCAGTACTCCATAGCTGCTTTTCAATTGTTCTCTAACTGATATCAATCCGAATTCTAACCTGATAGTAATTATATTGCTTTGAACAACAACAAAATATAATTCACAAAATACCTTGCAATGACTGTGAGTGAGGTCAACTATATAGGTCAAACTAGTAGATCTGGGTTAATCAGATTGTCAGAACATAAGAATTTAGCCAAGGAAAGAATGGTTGACCCCGAGAAGATAAGTAATTTAATAAAAAGCTCAGCAATTGCACTGCATCCAATCACACACAAACACACAGTAGGGTGGGTGGGACAGAGTCAAAATTCTGAAAAGTAATCATATGTAGGTGGAATGAGATTGGTTACTAGATCCTGCCTGGTTCATTGAGTCTACACTCAACATAACACAAGCAACAAAAATGACTCAATGCAAATACCAGAGAAATTAAAGATATTATTACCACCAGCCAGTCAAATCACAAGAGGATAATAAATAATCTTAAATTGTATTCTATATCAATTCACGTACATTATAACATTCTAACAAGTCACTTATGTATTTTGTCTTATTTCCCATCTGATTGTAATTGATCAATAATACTCATATTATTATTTGTAAATGTACATTATCTCATATTGATTTTTATTCAAATATCTAGTCAATTCCATACATGTATATAAATGAAGGAAGGAAATTGTGTGAGTAGTGCCTTGATATGATTATGGATGGCAATAATTTGTGCTCGAAGTGTGGTCATCAGTTAATATAACCGTACAACACTGTGTGATTTATCAAAATAAAATCTTATCAAATCCCGGTGGGTGCGTACTGCTGAAGAGTCCCAAACTAGGATGAAACAGCTGTCCAGTACTCCCAGCTGGTTTCCAATGGTTCTCTAACTAATGTCAGCTCATGATGAAATCCTGAAACCAATCAAATCCTACAAATCAACACTTGAATACCAATGAGATGCTCACTGGCGACTGGCCCTATTCAGAAACAGCTGTCCAGTACTCCTGACCGGTTTTCCAATGGTTCTCTAACTAATGTCAGCTCATGATGAAATCCTGAAACCAATCGAATCCCTACAAACCAACACTTGAAAATCTTATCTATAATGGAGTTAAACTCTACTGCCACCACAGTGCCCAAGTTTTATACTAATACCAATAAGAGAATAATTTTTGCTCAATCATTTTTCTTCAAATGGGAATTTTCTCTGGATTTACATGTAATGTTTCCCTTTGTTACTACAACTGTCTTGTAATAATACGGGACATGTACACCTAATACAAAACATGTTCGGGAAAATTCATTATTCTAGATAAGTAGTCGCTCAGCCACAACAATCCTTGATAACGACAATTTTAGCAGTAAACTTTTAGACAAAGTGAATCACATGACTTTCTTTACGGTTGACTAAGAGGTGAATTCAAACATTTCTGCTTGTGGTTACTTTTCACTGTGATTTTGTGATCATTCTCCAAATATAAGACGTTTGATTAGTTATCCTGGGATTCTGAACTCTCCTATCGTTTGTGATCCATTTTTTTATTTACTGGTGGATTGATCGACTATTTGATCGGTCAAGCAATTTCACGAATCTGTTCATTGTAACTTTCTCTATCCTCTAAGCTATGAGCCATACTCAAGATTTGGGAGCTTCTGATAGTTCTACGTTGTTGACAGTAAATGAAAAGGGTGAGGGAGTGATCTATCTGAGATACTGACGATTGGACAGGGGGATTAAAGCAATATTCTGACTGATTAGCAATCAGTTTAATTACTGTCCAGTCGAATTCGCAATTTGCAAATTAATTCAGGACTTTAATTTCAAATTTCACCACAGTTCTCTTTGAATAGCTAGATAGAAAAAATTTCACTGTCAGTTCGATTTGATTCGGCTTTGTCAACTGAATCAAATCAGTGAAGCCAGCCGTCTGGTATTTCGACCATTTCGATCGGAACAACAAGTGAGTGATGTTCAACTGCTCATTTCAATTAAACCAGTACTAATTACTGTTCGATAGGATAACAAATTGAAACTTGTAAATAGAATGTGAATTATCATTTCTATTGAACTAGAAATCATGATTATTGATATTTTTGTTTCCTTTTAGGCTCGTGCCTATTTAGAATCATTGCCTCATCGGGCAAAAGTCCCTTGGAAACAACTCTATCCATATGCTAGTGAATCAGGTGAGGCTTTTCTTTTTTTAATTTATGAGATCCATCCTCCCTAATATACTTACTATTCTGATATTTTGCACGGCATATTTTATCATTAAATTTAACTGGTCGGAGTAAATTGACTATAGTACTTTGAATTTGAGGTGCGGGATTCATTCTGACACGTTAGAGGCATTTTCTTAGTTCAGTGTATTGAATAACCATCCGTGATAAATTATACCGCATTTAAATCCAAAGCCTTTGTTATCATGTTGGTTCCTAGTCTGAGAGTTATGACTACACCTTGAGATCAGTTTCAATGGGATTGTAGACGTGCTTCTTGTCTCACTTGAAATTCCTCAGGTGGATGTACAAGTATCCCTAGTGAATGACAGTGTTTCCGATAAGATTGAGGACCATGACTTACCGCTTCAACTGCAAAGGCGTCATCTCAGTCTGTGATCGGTAAATTCATCGCCATATCCAGAAGTAACAAAGGATACCAGTTGCACAATTAGGTTGTTATTATGGCTCAGTGAAGTACCCGCCTATTCAGAAATTAATTCATAATAGACAGGCCAGTCTCCTTTCGGCTCAGAAATTAATGAACCATTTCATGAGACTTAGACAACTCTTATTCCATGGCATCTGATGGTGAAATCCTAACCGTGAGCCTGATTAATGTTGAGCTCAGTGCTGTAACGATTACATTTCTCTTCCTGATGACAGTTAGTAAGATCGATAGTGAAGTATTCCAGAAAATATCACTTCGCATTAAAGTAAACTGTGAAGATGTTTTCTAGGAGGACGATGAAAGTTTCGCAATTAAAGCAACCTGTTAGAGGACAAATCTTCTCCATTATTTCAAAAGTAGATCTATGCTGTCTTCCACCCAAGTGTCTCTTCTTCCTCCATTGAGCGCATCTGTGATTCTACACCAGAAATCTCATTAAAAGACTGTAACTGGAAGTGGTAACCATAACGAATACCTCTACAAAAAACCAATTACCCAGGAAAGTGTGAAGTGGTAAACTGATTGTAAAACTTAATATAAGAATAAAACTTCGGTATTGTGGTGGAGTATAATTCTATTATACTGCAAATTTTATTTTGGTAAAAACTCATCGTGTTGTATAGTAAAAAAATTAGTGAACTTTGCAGACTATTTATGTCTAATGTCACACAACAACCAGCGCACCAATCGCCACCAATGGGGGAGATTTGACAGAGGTTACTTCATTCACTTATCCGGCTAGCAAGCACGGTATCTGCCGCAGGTAGTCGGAATGGATGAAAATGTAAAAGTCAGGTAGACAGAATCGGAAAGGCGAAATACGCCTTCATCAACCTGAAATCAATTTGGAGACCTTCTGCACTGACTCCGCATTAAAAGAACAAGATTCTGATTCTGTTTAACACAAATTTTAAGTCAGTTAGTTCTCCTACGCGGTTCTCAAAAACCTGCTGTGCGTATTACGAAAAGGATTTCCAACAGGCCACAGCAGACTTTTATCAACAGCTGACATCTTCCCTGGCTGGCTGGCTGGCTGGCTGGCTCCATACTGAAAATCAAACGGCTGGCTGGTCAGAAAGAATTAGCAACAAGGAACTCTGGGAGATGACGAATCAACCTAGAGCCGATTGTTCAAAAGATATGTAGGAGAAAATGGAGACTGACCGGATAAACATTGAAGAGACAGCTGTGAGACATGGTTCACCAGTTCATCGCTCGAATGGAACTCCAATGAGAAGGGACGAGTAGGACGTTGGTGCAAAAGGTGACATGGAGCAGATCACGCTAGTTTGAGGAGATGAGATATTATGGACAATCGTGGACTGAGCTGAAGAGGATAGCAGAAAATAGGCGAAAGTGGAGATGTGTTGTTGAAGGCCTATTTTCCACTTAGAACCCAAAAGGGATAATAAGAACGGTAGTTACATAAACTAAAAGATCTATGGGTGAAAACCAGCAAGTTCTCAGAAGAAGTATTCAAAACAGAACTCTAGATGAACATAAACAAGACATAAGTGAAGTTAGCTAACCAACGAAACAATGGGCACCAATCATTATCACTGGTAGAAATATGAAGGAGGTCAATCGTTTTGCTTATCATGGCCGTATTGTTTCAACAGGATAAGATTCAAAAAGCCAGGACCAGAAAGGCGCAACAAACATTTATTATTCCGACATGTGCTGCACTGATCATATCCAACAATATTTGGACTTTCGAAAGCAATATTTTTTATTTTTGATTACAGCTTGATTCCACGCCGTATTTTTGGTACAAGTATGGAATTTTCAGCGTGGATATCGGTAGCTCAAATTTCGCAGGCCGCGACCATAGATATCAGGGGTGTGCGTCGGCGTGGGCTCGAACCCCGGACCATATGCATGGTCGGCGAGAGTCCTAACCAATGTGCCACTTCATTGTTTCTGTATGCTTCAGGGACATGTCCCACACACCACCTAAACCACTTCCAACTGACAATTGTAGTCTTCCATCGACAGTTACCTCCTCTGGCTTGACACTGGAGATTGGGTAGCTGAGAAAGAATGTCGAGCAACAAACAACTCTAGGAGACAGAAAATCAGCCAGTCAACTTTTAACCGAAAGAAATGTAGAAATAAGGGGAGATGGACTGCATATACGCCATGAAGGCCTCTGAATGACATCACGCATCAGACCTTCTATGGGAATCTGAGTGGGAAATGACAGGTTGGGTGTGGGTCCAAAGGTAACTTGGAGAAGATCGTCCATGGAGGTGATAATACCTCATGACCTGTCATACGTCTGGGTGAGGAGGATTGAGGAGAACAGAATGAAATGGTGTACTGCTAAAACCTTATATTCCACTCGAAACCGAAGCGAATAACAATAATTGGCTTAAGGAGACCGCCGATACTGATGGTCAGGAACTGGGTATATTTCACTCTGAGACTTCGTAGAATATGTGCTAAGGAGTTAAACTTTCAATATGAAAAAAACATTAGTTTATTTTCTTGATAATCGCCATCTTTTTTTAAAAAATTTACAAAGAACAATCAAATCAAATTTGAAAGAGGATTTAAAAACAAGCCAATTTGTTAATTGAATCTTGACATAACAAGCTAATATTCACTAATCTTGTGACGCTGGCAATTCCTATTTCTGTCATCATTAACAATGTGCTTATTAAAATAAAATGAACAAAACAGAGAGGGAGATAGATACACATATACGTGTTAGCAAATAAATTGACTAAAGAAAGAACAATAGGGAAAGCACAGAGAAAGACAGAGAGTGATCTATCAAAACCTTATGTTCAATCAAGTCAAAAAAACAACTTGAATTATATGCAGCAAGTTGATTGATAACAAAAAAAGTGAGAAAGAGGCAATATATGATAAACTAAGTAATTGTACAGGGATATTATAAGATATATATATATATGTATGAGAGAATAAGCTTTAGGATTTATCGATATCCTTGAGTTCTACTGAGAAGTTTTGATCAGTAGGGTTCACCAAACCTACTGTAAAGCGTGTGCTCAGCGATGAAACTGGCTGGCGGTGACTATATATAATAATAATAATAATAATTTTTCCTTCACGTTCCCAGTGGAACATAGGGCTCCAAGCTAGTGGCTTGAAGTTTCTGTAGCAGTGTTTGATTTTTACAGGATGGGGTTGCTAGCCTCATGCCCAACCTTTCCTCTTTACCGGCATTATTTCTGGCTCAGTGAGGTAAAGGAGTGCGCCGGCTGGGGGTCGAACCCCGGACCATATGCATAGTCGGCAAACGTCCTGACCGCTATACCACCGACGCACGATGACTATATATATATCACGAATCGATTAGCATGAATAAAGCAGAAATCAGAACGGTTTGTGCAGCAGAAGTAAGTGGCACCATAGTTTATTTCATCAGCTTCTCATCGTCTGTGTACAGAACAATTTTAACGTATTTGCATGGGTAAAATGATTTAAGTTAAGATTTAGATGCATTATTATTCCCTTGGGTTCTGAGTAGAAAACAGGGCATCAACAAAATATCTCCACCTTGTTCCACTTCATGATGTCCTCTTCAGCTCGATCCACGATTGCACTATAATCTCTCATCTCCTTCTCCTTCTCACAACACCATCTCCTCTATGTCACCCTCGCAACAACGAACTACTCGTCGCCACTTCCCATTGGGATTCCACTCGAGAAATTGCCTCCATCGCACGCGATGTCATTCGGCGGCCTTCTCAACGTATGCCCATCCTATCCATCTACATTTTATCCTACATATTTGTTGAGCAATCAGCTCTAGGTTGGTTTATTTTAAGGCAGAGTTTCTTGTTGCTTATTCTTTCTGGCCAATTGACCGTCAGTATAAGGCCAGCTAACGAAGTGTGCAACTGCTAATAAAAGTTTTGAAGCAGGGTGTTGGAAATCCTTTTCGTGACACGCAGTGCAAGTATTCTGACCCCTACAGAAGAACTCCCTAACCAAATATTGGTAGTGAAAATGCGAATCTTGTTCTTGATGCTGGACACTGTTCAGAACATTTCCAAACGGGTTTCAGGTTGATGAAGGCGTATCTTGCCTTCCCGATTCTGACTGGCTGCTTTTGACATCTTGATCCGTTCCGCCAGTAGTTCAAACTATGCTTCCTAGACAAGTAACGGGGGGGGATGGTCTCCCAAACCTCTCCCGTTGATGGCGTTTGGTGCTGGTTGTTGTTGCTGCTGCTGGGGCGTGGTTGATTACCTTCATCCCCTCCGTCTTCTCTGTATTCACCTGCAGTCCTTTCATTCCTGCCTACTTCTTCTTCCACCAACATGTTGGTTTCCGCCTTCAAGACTTCAAGTTTGAGAGACATCAAACATAAATCATCCACGAGCGAAATCCAGAGCTTTTAGGGTCTTTTTATCGGTCAGTGCAGCGTATTCTTGTCTTCTCACTCCTAATGCACAATGTGACGCATAGTCAAGTCCACCAAAATTAAGAATATCATCGTGGGGGATCACAGATAGCCAGCCAGACTTTTCTTACTCATGTATTCACTTCTAACGGGTTGTTGAGTTTCCCGTTGCGGATTACCTGACACGTGGCACTGTCACATAGCTGTTGAACGAGGTTGAAACAGATTTATGGCGCTGAACGCTATAGTGTTGAATTAGGTTCCAAATTACTTTTGCTCAACGCTGTGTGTCAAAGGCCTTTTAAAAGTCGATGAAGTTAAGGTACAGGTTTGACTGCCATTCTGTTTTTTGTTCTGTGACGATTGCGATTTGATCAGCTTCGATGCAATAGCAAAAGAGTTGCGTTATAAAGACCAGATGTAAATAAGATGTTAAATGACTTATGCGTTTAGTTGGAATGTGTTATGTATAACATAACTGATAACATAACCCTACGAAAGATCAAACCCAAATTCTGGATACGCCACGTAGATGACACATCTGCAATAATCAAAACAAAAAAGTTGAATAAAACTCGCAACTTAATAAACAACGTCTTCAAAGACATCAAATTCACGAGAGAAAAAAAATCCCGGAAGAAAATCACATTTTTGGACGTCTTAGTCAAGTGAGCAACCACAAGAACACTGGGAACCCTAGTTTATAGAAAATCAAACCATACAGACCAAATACTGAATTACAACAGCAACAATCCAATAACACACAAAAGGAGTTGTATACAAACAGCTTAAGGAAAATTGAAGAAAGATATCTCGTGGACGTCTTCCAAAAGAAGGATATCCACGGAATTTCATCAAAAGACATATACCTCCAAGTCAACCTATCAAGGCAAAAGCCCCCAAGGAAAGCAAAAAGAAAAAAAAAAAATCACCGCAACACTCTTCAAACTTTTAGGAATTGACGTCGCACACAAACCAACAGAATCACTTCACTGAGTTTTGTGTTAACCGAAAGACTCAACAACGAAAGAAGTTAAAACCAATATCCTTTACAAAATAAATTGTAACAATTGCGAATAACACTACATTGGCCAAAGTGGATGTCCCTTTTGTCTTCGTATCCATGATCCTAAGCTAGGCGTCAAAAGACACAACATCGACCCCCTCATATCACTGCATACAGACAGCCACGGAAATCAGTTCGAGTGGGACAACCAACGTTCAAATATTAGGCAGAGGAAACAACAAGAATGGTAGAAAATTCTTAGAAGCCCAGTATTCCAGTGAGTCATCAATCAATAGCCACATCGATATATACAAAATTTACCAACCGATAAAAAGGAAATCTCACACAAAAAGGGTCAAACCTCAGGTCGAGGAAACAATTGACAATAATACCAATACAAGTAGCCTAGAAGGTGTGAAAACACACACAAAACAAGCAATCACGAAGTTCAAGGTTACTAGGAGAGATGACTAATAAACTCGTGGAGAAATCTAAAAATCCATTTCAACAAGTTGAAGTATGCGCAGAAGATGTTGCCTAGTGAGGGAAGATGAAAGCTTCGCAAATTAACTATCCAACTTTGAGAACACAACCACATCAAACACAACTGAATTCACAGAAACAGGAGACAATCTAAACTGTAGTAAATTGAAGTGGAAAACTTTAAAGGCCAAGGATAACATAATCAGATAGGCGGCCTGCTTGTAACCTGGACTGCTACAATTTTCCGTCATTATGCTGCATAAAACGTCTCTTGTTGAGCTTGTTAAATCGAATAAAATATGAATTTTTCTACTCTTGTGAGTAGTTGAAATGTCTACAACCTGCTGATTTAAAAGTTGATACTAAACTTGAGATGTGGCTAAATAGTGCGTTGCAACGCATTCCTTCAATACATAAGATTCCTGTGCTCGAGATTTTCGGTACAACCTGCCAGTGATTACTAGCAGTCTTCAGCTATTTAGCATTTCTTCGAGGAGATAGAGAAAAATTATCACAAGGAATTGGTTTTTGCTCCAGGCTATACAGTGGAGTATCCGACAATTGACTGTCAGTTACTATTTTATTTGAAGATCCTGAGGAAAGAGAAGCTACTATGCCAATTTTTCTGTACATGTTATGAATACTGTCCAGAATATAGCTATTATTATTATTAAAAATAAAAAGCAAAGTAAAGACGTATAGTAACCGGGAACCTGTGAATCTTTGAATCGTGTTTCAGGCATTTGATGTCAGTTGATTCGGCAAAATTGAGGTGAACAGAAGCGTTTTTCCCTACTGATAATGTTAAAGGATTTAAGAGTGTTTACCTCATGACTCATATAAAAAAATACCTATCAATGAAATTATCGAAGGTGTTTATTCCTTTAAGACGCAGGTGTTTTGGTAAATGTTCAAAAATTGAAGATATCCTCTTCTTTAGACTGTATGCAGATTATGAGAATTTGATGAGTTGAGTGGTAGTACCATCTTGTTCGTCCCGCTAAAACTTAATAAAGGAGGATAAATGTATGAAATCCATGGACTCTTTGATTCAAAACCAGGTGCTGCACGGTCTTTGTACTGGTCTCCCAACTTAAATAACTGCGGTTCTATCCTGAATTGGATCACAGTCACTCATTGCTGAAGAGTTTTAAGTTGAGACGAAACAGCTATCCAGTTTTTGTCAGTTTCAAATGATTCTCTCAACTGTGTAGGTTTATCATATGAAGTCAGTCCAGTCAATTATGCCATCAAATTCCTATTTAATTTCAAGTATGATTACGAAATGACTTATGCTAGAGAATTTTGAAAACTATCAGGATTTACTTGACAGCTATTCTTTTTTAGCCTAGAGTTGCTCAGTAAAACGCAACGTAGATCTAACCCAGGATCAACAGCAGGAACGAGAAAGTGCACAGTCTGGCCTTGAGAACTGAATGACCTTGGAGTTAAGCTAAAATATAGCAATCCAGGTGTGCGAACGCATTAATAACCTTGAGCGTAAACTATTCATTGGATAACGAGACCTATCATTATTATTGCGCCAATATGAACACGGTTCATGAAGTGAGGCATAAATTTCACCCCGATCTCGTTCTTAAATAGTGTTTAGACAGTATGCTGATGGCTCATTAGGATTAGGGTTAGATTTAGAGTGGTGTCTTATTATTATTATTATTATTCTCTGCATTTGTCTCCTAAATAGTTGTCGACCTTCTTACTGGAACCCTTACTAATTTAATCGAGGGCTTTTCAGAAGACTGAAAAACAAATAAGACTGATGAAAAGGTTTCAAAAAGAACTCATCTTCAGTCACCTCAAACTTTGGCGTTCTGGTTCGATTTCTGGTAAGTAATGAGTACGTACTGATGAAGAATCCTATAGTTGGACGAAACAGCTATCCACTGCTCTCTACTGGTTTCAATAGTTATCAAACTAAAATCCATTCGTGATTAAATTTAAAAATCAATCAAACAAGAAAGTGTTCATTCAGATCAGCTGTCAGTTTATCTTCCAGAAGTCGAAACAGTACACTGTGTTGTCTTTGGAGTTAATTTAATCTGACATTCATTGCCTTAAATCTTAGATTTGTTTATATTCCTCATCCTGACTGTTAATTTACTTAACAGATAGTCTAATTTCTGAAAAAAAAAGACAATCCTATTCTCTGAGCTCAAGTTGTTGAGTAATACCCTTTCATTGGCAGGGGAAGGGGGATAGAATCAATTCCTTTGAGGTTTCAGGTAAGCCATGCTGACGAATACCAGTAAATACGAAATCTTTCAATCATCTAGCATTATACCTGTCTTAACGAGTATATTTCACATGATGCATCTGTACAATGAGCATTACTTATTTCAAGGTTATTGATAGATACAAATTGATTGAGGTAAATAATACAAGTATATGATTACTTTAGGTCTTTTGTTTATCATTAACATTGTTATCGTTGTCATTTCTGTTTTGTATTCCATTTGAAATATATTGCTCTCTTTGTTTGTTTGTTTGTTATTGTAGCCTTAGATTTATTGGACAGGTTATTATGCTTTGTTCCTTCACGTCGAATAACCGTTGAAGATGCATTAGCACATCCTTACCTTGAACAATACTATGATCCAACGGATGAAGTAAGTCTAGACTTTGACTATGTACTTGATTATTTCTTTGTCAGTTAATTATAAGCAACGCTAGTTATAAATCCATTAAAAACCAGAAACTACTGGTCTTAATTTGAGATACTTTAAAAGTAAGCATTCACATCTATACCAAGGCAGAAAAGTTATTGCAAGATCATGAGTTGAGCCCATTGGTTGAAGTGTAAAACTTGGACACTGGGGTAGAGTATAACTGGATTATGGATAAGATTTTATTTTGATAAATCATACATTCGTATACAGTCAATCTGTGTACCAATGTCATCGGTGAGACATCCATCCTCACACTTGAATGGATAGACCTAACTGGTCACGACTTTCCACTGGAATGGTATACGAGCTTGCCTTGTAAACGGAAGGTCCTGATTTCGAACCCTGGCAGTTAGTGCGTACTGCCGATGATTTCCAAACTAGGGTGACAAGACAGCTGTCCAGTAGTGCCTGTGGCTGGTTTTCAATGGTTCTCTAACTGATATCAATCCGTGATCAACTCGTCAAAACAAATCTATTCCTTACAAACCAATTATAGAAGAAATATACGTTAAAGTGAAGTTTTTTTGAATTCACTATTTTCCACAACGTTTTTCTGACAACTTGCGACTAAAGTAAACCTTCCTTTTTCTAACTAAAGAGACTTGTGGATTTTAATCACGAAGTAAAGAAATTATTTATTTGTTTTTTGACTAATCTGAAATCTAAATAATAATATCAACCGCTAAAGTTTAATTGACTACTCGACAAAACATTTGTTACCTATTATTCATCTACACTTTGTAAAAACAGAAACGAAAATGTACAATTACAAATGGATTATATACTAACACTGATAGTGCATTCGGTGAAAGACGCCAAGGGAATACCGATAAGCTGAAGTCCTTGATTGAATAGGAACTGCTTGATGAAGTGTACTACTGATTGGCTGATATGAGTAGCTGCGTAAAACCTACCCTCAACCTTAAATTCTGGTTAGTCATTTGAGCGAAATGGAGGAATGGAGGCAGATGTCAAATCGAGTGAGAATCGTGAAGGCGAGAAACACATCAACATCATCAACCTGAAATCAATCTGGAAATCTTCGTCACTCAGCATCAACAACAAAATTCAGTCGGATTTTCAATACAAACGTAAAGCCAGTCAGTTCTTCGATACGGATCAGAAACTTGGCTGGCGGGTCACAAAGAATATTTCCAACAGCCTGTTGCATGCAGACCTTTATCAACAACTGTCTTCGCTGGCTCTATACTGAAGATCAGATCAGATGACTGGGCCGGAAAGAACCATCAACAAGAAACTATGGCTGGGAACAAACAAAACAAGAACCAATTGCCAACCAACAAATATGCAGGAGATGGATTGGACACTCGTTGAGGAGGCCGGTTGGTGACATCGCGCGCTCGTCAGGCCATTGCTCGAGTGGAACCAGGCCTTAAGGAGGGAAGCGGCGAGTGGGACGTCAGTGCAAGGGTGACATGAAGGAGATCGTGTGAAGAGGAGTTGAAAGAGTATGGACTAACATGGATGCAGGAGAAAAGTATAGCAGAAGACAGAAGCAAGTAAAGACGAGCATTTGAAGCCCTATGTTCCACTAGGAACCCAAGGGAACCATAATAATACTACATTTAAGCGGGCTGTTAATTCAAGGAATCTAATCCTTCAACTGAGAATTATACGCTTCATGAATAAAATCCATCACGGTCTCCCTCTGGAACTGAACTAAAACAATAGCTGCAATCTTGATATGATGGACTGTCTTGCAAAATTCCAGAAAGCTACACTGCCTGGTGCTAATGTTTCTATAAGACCTCCCATACCAGACAGATCGTGTGGAGAGTTGTTACACTGAAAACACTTGCCCTTATAGTCTGTGCTGAGAGTCTCCTGGAAAAGTTCCACTGCTGATAAGCATGGACGTAACATCAGTAAGTTTCCCTAGGTGACTAGCATGCCAGATATTCTGCCTCTCCGCTTTAGCATGGGAGAAGATTAAAAGTGGTCGATCTCAAAAACTGTTTATCCCAAGTTACTCTGCGACTGTCCATAGCAAATGGTAAGATCTTAACATGGGTGTAGTTCCGAAAATCAGACCAAACAGGTCGTATCTGACAGACCTCGAGCAGTTGTCCTATGGGAAATAACAACGACCTACACACCCCCTAGAAGTACACAACGCTTTCCCACCCTTACATCAGCTAACAAAATATGTCATCTACCTGATATTACAAATGCTATGAATGAAATTTCACCTAGATCTGTATAACTTTGAGAATTGTGAATTCCACTGTAATTAATTTACCTGATCGCCTCAAAAGATCAAATCTTTCCAATGCGAAATTCTTCAATGACACACAAAAAATGAATGCAAACGTAGAAAGAACTTATCCGACTGAATATCGGATTACATATAGTAAGCACAGATTAATGCATAACTGAATAAAGTAAAGTGTTGTTAGATTAGCTGTGATTTTTTATAAGAAAAAAAAAGTAGAAGGATGCAAAAAACGGCATTGTGCTCTTCGTAACTTGATTTATTCTTTCAATAATGAGAAGATTAAAGGCGGAGAAATCAATCAACTTATAGTGGAAAATTTTTTTTTTCATTAGAATTTCCGAAATCCCATCGTTTTATGCGGACTAAGAGTAGCTAATACTGAATTTAACAGCACATACTTTTCGTCCTATCTTGGGACCCGTCAGCCGACATTCATTCTAAGAGAACTTGAACCTAAACACACATTAACGTCCAAGGGTCACATGGAGGAGATCGTGTGAAGAGGAGTTGAAAGACTATGGACTAACATGGATACAGGAGAAAAGTACAGCAGAAGCAAGACAGAAGCAAATGGAGACGTGCAGATGAAGCCCTATGTTCCACTAAGAACCCAAGGAAGCATTACTAATAATAATAACTACGTTTGGAGCACAAATTATTGCCACTCAAAATCATATCAGGGACCTACTCAAACAACATTCTCTCCTTCATTTATATACATGTGTGGAGTTGACTAGATATTTAAATAAAAATCAACATAGGATAATGTACATTCAGAAATAATAGTATAAGTATTATTGATCAATTACAATCAGATGGGAAATAAGACGAGTGTTTCATAGTCCTAACAAGTTACTTGTTACAACGTTATGATGTACTTGAACTCAAATAGAATTTTAAGATTATTTATTATCCTCCTCTGATTTGACTAACTGACTGGTGGTAATAATATCTTCGATATTTCTGGTATTTGCATTGAGTTATTTCTGTTGCATGTGTTGTGTTGGCTGTAGGCTCGATGAACCAGGTAGGATTCAGTAATCAATCTCCCTCTATCTCCACCTACCTAGATTACTTCTTAGAATTTTAACCCTCTCACACCCATGCTAATGTGTGGTTGTGTGTTAATGCTTGCAGTGCAATTACTGAGGTTCTTTTCTAAATTAATTATCTTCTCGGAGTCAACTATTCTTACCTTACCTAAATTCTTGTGTTCCGACAATCTGATTACCCCCGATCTACTAATTTCACCTATATAGTTGACCTCAAAGTCATTGCAGGGTATTTTGTATATTATATTATTTTGTTTAATTGAGTCCACCAGGTCGTTTTGCCTACATAGCTTGCTTGTCTCTGAGTGAGCTTGTAAGTTTGAATGCCACCCTAATTCCGGCCTTATTAAGAATTCTACGTAAGGTCTCAGATGTCAATTCCACACGTGTATATAAAAGAAGGAGAAAGTTGTGAGTAACTTGATATGATTATGGGTGGTAATAATTTGTGCTGGAAACGTCATCAGTTAATACTACTGTGTAACACTGTGTGATTTATCAAAATAAAATCTTATCTATGATGGAGTTATACTCTACCACCACAGTGCCCAAGTTTTATACATATATCAATAAGCAGAACAGTTGTTTCCCTTTTTTCGTCTTGGACGCTTCAGCAATGCATACTTCCATAATCCCACCGCTGATTGAATGCAATGTAAGACTTTGGTCTTTGGAATGATGACTGACAGATCTAATTCTCACTGGGAACTCTGTTACTTAACTGACGAGTTCCAGATAGGACAAAAATTATACTGTTTAGATCGTTTCGATCGAACTATTCATCACGTTTTGAGGGAAACCGTTTTTGGACCCACAAAAAAACTTGGAGGATCTGTACTTCACCAATGATGACATATGTCTGATTTCCCACAAACTGAAAGATATGCAAGTGAAAAGCAATAAGTTGGTGACAGAAAAAGCATCAAAGATGGGACATCAGGTGAACATAGAGAAAACAGAGGTACGTGATGAAGATTCCTGGCCAGCAACAACAGACAACAATCAGCCAGCATAAATGGGAGGAACCTGAAAGAAACAACCTCCACTATCTACCTAGGAAGCATCGTTTCAACTACGAGCGGACGGAACTGATAAGGATATCAAAGCATCAAGGATCGGGAAAGCAATACAAGCTTTCATTACTCTCAGGTCTGTGTGAAGGAGATCAACAGCACTCCTCAGCATGAAAATGAAAATAAGATCCGGATTTTCAACTTCAATGTGAGGTCAGTTAGTGCTTCTTTTTATATGTATCAGAGATTTGGCGCGTCATAAAAAGAACCTCAAACAAACTACAGACCCCTATCAACAGCTGTCTTCGCTCAGTACTCAAGATCGGTTGGCCAGAAAACGTCAGCAACTGGGATCGCTGGGAGCAAACCAATCAGGAAACGATTACACAAAATATAGGCAGGAAGAAATAGAGATGGATTTGTCATACTCTGAGGAAACCATCAAGTGACATCGCTAGACAAGCCGTTAAGTGGAACTCGAAAGGGAAACGGCGAATTGGTCGTCAGTGCTAGGGTGACTTGGAGGAGTTGATGTGAACAGGAGATGAAAGCATGTGGGCAGACGTGGAGCCAGGTGAAAACGTTGTTGGAGAATCGAATGGAATAGAGACGTGTGACTGAAGCCCTATGTTTCTCTAG